ATTCCGTTTTTGGTCTTGGAATATAAAACCTTGTTGAAGAACCTCTCAGATTATGGTCATGAATGGTATTCAGATTTTGGAAACCTTCACATAGTCGTTGGGGGGCTAAACCATTAACTGTCTTGTACATGAGCCTGGCTTTCATTTGTGCCCTACGCTCTTCAAGTGTTACCCAGCCTAGAGATTTTCGTGCCAAAATAGACTGACCATGTTCATTTTTTAAGTTCATGATCAACCTAGCCGCTCTGTTTTGGAATTTCTGTAGACGTTCGCTTAGGCCTTTATTAAGTGTATCCCATACTTCACGGCAATAATCAAAATAAGGTTGGATTAAGGCATTATAAACTTTTATCAAAATGTCTTGTTCGACATACTCCCTCATTTTTCTAATAGCCCCAATACCTGATGATATTTTACTGCTAATATGGTTAATGTGTGTTTCCCAACTCAAGTTTTCGTCTAATTCAACTCCAAGAGCTTTGGTATTTTTAACTTTTTTAATCAATTGATTATTTATTTTAACTCCTTGATGGGTATCAATATTACTTATTTTATGTCGTGTTCCAATTAAAACATACTCAGTTTTCACTATATTTAGACTTAGTTTATTTGCACAAAGCCATTTCTGAACATTCCTCATGTCTACGCTCGCCCTCTCTTCCGCCTCACTAATTGTTCTGCCTACTGCCGTTAAGTTAGTATCATCAGCAAACATTCTTGGAGTTGTGCGTTCTAGGCAGCTTGGCAAATCATTTATATACATAATAAATAAGAGAGGGCCGAGTATACTTCCCTGAGGAATGCCACAAATGATTTCTTTCTCCACCGAGAGTATATTGGCCAATTGACAACTTTGAGTTCGGTGCGTCAAATAGCAACGTAAAAGATTTAATGCTTTCCTTTGGAAACCATACATTTCAAACTTACTTAACAGTATTTCGTGGTCGACTGTATCGAATGCTTTTTTTAGGTCAAGAAAAACAACTAAGTTATACAGCCCACGGTCCATGTTGGTATACCATTCGTTCGTACAATCCAATAATATAGTAGTTGTGGAATGATAAGGTCTGAAACCAAATTGGTGTTTTGAGAAAAGATTATTCTGGTTAAGATACTCATACATTTGATCATACATAATTCTTTCCATAAGTTTACTTACTACAGGAAGGATTGATATCGGTTTATAGTTGTCCAACATGGACCGCTGACCTTTCTTAAACAATGGAATAACCCTTGCAGCTTTCCAATCAGAAGGAAATTGGTCCGAGTCAATTGACATATTAAAAATCTCAGTAAGAGAAGGTGCAATAACTGGAGCTGCTACTTGTAGAATTTTAGCTGAAATTTTATCCATTCCAGTCGCTTTGGTGGTAGACAAATTAACTAGAAGAGTGTAAACCAATGTTACACTCACTGGTCGAAATGAGAAACTGTTCTTTGTCTTAGATTTTTGTTGAGTAATAAAATCTCGAAAACTAACGTCATTGTCATTTGGAATAGACTCAGCAAGCTTTGGGCCAATATTACTAAAATGATCATTAAAAATGTCGACTAAATCGTCGGTCGATGTAACAGTTTTACCTGGGAGTTTAATTTCATTAATCGTAGTCTGTTTTCTGTTTCGACCTAATATATCGTTTATTGTTCTCCAAGCATATTTAGGATTCTGTTTATTATTTGTGAATTTGTTTGCATAATAATCTCTTTTAGCACTGCGCACAGCAGTGTTGGCAACATTTCTAGATGACTTATATAGTCTCCAGTCTTCTTCTTTATTTGTCTTTATTGCTTTACGCTTAAGAGCATCTCTTTTAAATAATTTTTCCTTTACTTCCCGGCTTACCCAAGGAATATTGCCCCCTTTTCTTAATCTTTTTACTCTCACAGGGGCATGTTTATCCAGCACATCTACAAAAAATGTTTTCCATAACCGCCACATTTCATCTACATTTCTTTTAAATCTTATTTCTTCCCAGGGTATATTTTGTAAGTCATATAGAAAGCCTGAAACATTGAAATTCTTAAAATTTCTATACTTGACAGAACCTTGTAAATCAGATTTTATTCTTGTACTTATTTTCCGAATACTATAAATGAGGCTGTGATCACTAATTCCGAGATGGACTACACCTGAAAAAATTATTTTTTCAGGCATTGACGCAATTACTACATCCAATAATGATTGGCTAGACTGGGTAATACGCGTAGGGTTATTAATTAATTGTGTAAGCTGATATAATTCCAAAACGTCTTGAAGCTTTCTAGTGGTGGACAAAGTTGGTTCTAGCATATTACAATTTAAATCTCCCAAAATATAAAATTCTATATTTTCATCATCAATTGATTTGATTAGCCTCTCAATTTTTATAAACACTTCACTAGCGGAACATGGTGGTCTATAAATACTTGAAACTATAAAAGATTGACTATTAGCCTGTTTAATTTCCACACAGACAGCTTCAAGGCCTGTTGGAACTAGATCAGGGCGATTTTCATAATTTATATGGCGTCTTATATAAATACATACCCCTCCTCCATTTCTATTCCGATCAGCACGTAGCAAGTCATAACCTTCAATGCTAACAATCCCATCGGAAATAGTGGAGTCCAAACGGGTTTCATTAACTGCAAAAACATCTAAATATTTATCGTGAAGTAATAATCGGATTTCATCAAGGTGTTTCGGAAGACTAACTACATTAAGCATAGCCATCTTAAAACCCCTTGTTTTCGGAATATTTAAACAGGCATCATTAGCACTCCTCCTCGACCCGTCCTCATTTCAATTATGCGAACTTAAGAAATGTGAAAAGTTTGCCTGAAGCAAAGAGCTACCTTCTCGGTTTAAATGCAGTCCTCTACTATTTAAATGAGAGCGACTAATATTACTATTGTCTAAAAATGCAAGCTTTTTCTTCAAGCAGCTTGACTTTAATATATTGTTAGTTTCATTTACCTTCGTTGTAAGTTCCTCTCTATCGCATCTAGTGACTAAAGAAGAGATGATGACTTCAGTATCATTGCAATCCTTTTTAAAATTCTCTGCTAACTCGATAATTTTCTTTGCAAATTAAAGGTGCTTCAGAACGCCTAGCAGATTTCAGTATTTTTAATATGGCGGAAAATCTATATATACAAGTAACCTTGTAAATATTAATACGACAATGTTCGTTGAACATGTTCGATGTCTACATAGCCAAATTCAAACTGTATTAAAAATGTGCTCAATTAAAAAAAATATATACAAATTTACGATACCGAGTTTGAGCAATGCCAATGGTCGTATAATCGTTGATGTTATTTATATACTCGCAAGTTGCGATCAACACTAGACCATACTGGTATACACAACTACGCTTTCTACTTGACAGGTTTAATAAATTAGCTGAGGAGTGAGGAGATTGGAAATGTTTGCCTGAACATTTTTAGTTGGAGACTCGGCATAATTTTCAAGCTTGTAGATAGCATTTAATATGGTTTTATATTTTAGTAAACACGAGTCATAATTAACCCGTTATTCCATTCTGACCGTGTGCTAGCGAAACGTAGCCTATTTCATTGTTTCGACAGCATTACAGCAAAACTAATGACTTAATTATAAACACAAAGGAAATTTCCATAACATTTCCTATTTAAAAATGCGGTATGCTTGGTAACCAGGCCAGGGACCACTTTTTTGAAATCAGGGACCATTTTACCGAAATCTGCTAGGCTCTCTCGCTGAAGCGTTCCGCACAGCACACCCAGGCATAAAACTTTTAAGACTTATTTAAATATATCAAAGCAGCGAATAGACACAGAGAGAGCCTGGGACTAGGCTGGTTAACTTGCATGGGCTTGCGTAGGGTAGTTAAACAGTAAAATTATATAAAGTAAAGAGTGATTAACGACCGCTTACAAGGATTTTTAACATGATTGTGGACTCGCATCTTGCAAATAGGCGGGAATGTTATTGAAACTAGTGAAAAATAAACAAGAAAACTAAGAAAAACTCAACGAAGAAGGCAGTTTTTTTACTTGAGATTTCTACGTTAAACCAAAGTGTAATTGTTTGGCAATTAGATATCATGTTCCTTCGTGTAATGGGCCCTATGTCGTCTTCGAGAGATCTGATCCCGTGCAAAAATACATATTTTCTTAAAAACCTTTTGAAATTCCCAAAATCTTGCAAAAATGAAACATATTTGCAAGAAATCATCAAATCAAGAAATATTTGCTATTTCGCTGTCGTCATGCAGGACTTCGTTATAATGCAAATTTTAAATTTGACCAATCAGTATTCGCTATTTATGACAGTCCGCCATATTTTTGAGATCAGTGAGGATGACCACCCACCCAACACCGTTGGTCACGCACGCCCGCGATCATTGATGAACTTCAGACTTCGCTAATGCTTTCGTTTCCCGGGTGTAAATAGCCGGGCGGAATTAGTACCCTCGCCCTGGGCTTACGTCCGAAACGGCGCTCCGCGCCGTTGGCTCGGGGATCAACACAGTCAATTTCTAAAGAAGTGGATAATATGTTTGCGATGTTACTCTGAGTGCATATCCACACCGGGCGAGCTTGAAAAATATGCCCGGCCACGGTGGGATTCGAACCTACGACCTTTGGAATACTAGCCCAATGCTCTTCCAACTGAGCTACGCGGTCAGGACGGTTCGAGTAAGTGATATTTCGGAACAGTATCTAGTTCCTTCAATACAACTCAAACAATACAATTCAAACTTTTTGCCATTTTTAAAAAAAAGTGTCCCAATGATTGTTCATACTAAAAACTCTTTTGATAAAATAAAAATTGGGGGTCACCGACGTTGTTTTCGAATTAAACTAGTTCAAATGCAAATTAGTAGCCATTTTGAAACGCCACTGTTGCCATAGTAACCGCAATTACGAACTTTCCCGTTACAGTTTCTGATTCTCAAAAATTTATACTGTTCTATACAAGATATCGGGTTTCATTCTTCTATAAAAATATCCGTGAATGTACAAATTTTTTTCCACTTCAAGAAACTGTATGGAGTCACCTTAAGTCATGTAGTTAACTAACTAACTACAGTTACGGATTTAACTACGGTGGTTAACTGCAGTTAGCGCTAACTGCGTTTTTACAGCCTCGTCCCCGGCGCTTTGATGTTGCGTGACGCGCGCGCGGGAGGACACGCGTGGGGGGGGAAGGAAAAATTCGGAGCGAAGCGCCTGGGAGAAAATGCTTTCAAGATGGCGGACAAAACAAGTGATTTGCACTTTTGTCTTGACAACGATAGTGAAGATGGTCAGTATAAGCAGGTAAACATTTTAAAATTCAAATTACTATTTTAGTATTTCATGGAATTCTTGAAAAAATGTTGGGAATAAGTGATAGACTTTATTTTTTAGGAAATAAGCCACAAATATTTATGTGTGGTTGTACATATAAAACCTTTTTGTATTTACTGTAACTTTATGCGATAATTTCATCCATCAATCCCGAAATTAAATGGTTGCACAGTACAGGTATATCAAGAGATGAAACTATGATGTGCTAGTATATTAAATTGGGAATTAAGGTTTTACATATTTAGTCAAGGGTTTTGTTATGCATGAGCTTGTGGTGAACTCGCTGAACTGGTGCAGGACAGAGCTCAGCTGCTAGGGGCAGCTGATCTGAGAAGTGAGAAGGCATGTTTTATATCTAGGATTGTAGTTTATGTCCTCTCTGATAGTTTGTTGCATGTATATATTAAGTTATCAAAGGGGCAGTGTCACGGTTCTACTGCGCATCCAAAATATGCGCGAACTTGAAAAACTGTCTGCCAACAATTAATCAAGTTAGGGGTGAAATACGATATACTATTTATAATGCCTTGGTTATGCAGGACATCCTTGCTTTGTTTTAAAAATTGAAGGCTGCTGCTGCATCTTTTCAATCATGTAGCATTAATTTTAAACGTTTCTTTGCGCCGTTTATTTTAGCCAATCAGCGCCGTGACACTGCCCCTTTAAATTGTTTCTAGTTCTGCCATGTTTCTGTCCCTGAGGTTATTAACGGCTGTTAATGCGGACAGCTAGCCCAGTAAGCGAGACCTCACCGTTTTATAGTGGATATTCCTTTCAATTTGTATGAACAACCTAGTGACTGGCTCAGAGAGATCTCACTTGAAGAAGGCAACATCTCACTTGAACAAGCAACATCTCAGTTATACCGGGAGGATATTTTGTGGCTATACAAAACACTAACCAGACTGACTTGGTCAAAATAAAGTCAAAACAACAAAATTGGTCATGACAATATTGTCAAAACAATAGAGACACAGAAATTTCCAACAATGAGTGCATGCTACTGACATTGTTATTGAAACTGAGTACCAAGCAACATGTTTGAAAATTAAAGATGCAAATTCTTGATTAATTTTGTATTATTTTAGATTAAATTAATAATTATTAAACCTAACTGTACAATCAAGTTACATGTAATAGAGTATTATTATAAATTTGTAGCTCCATAGGCTATTCTTTCGCTGTTCCAGGTTTTGATCCACAAAGTTATAGAGAAAAGTCATTGTTAGTTCTGCCAAGTGCTAGTGTACCACTACACCTCTTACGATTTGAACATTCAAAAGAACTTGTATTAATCTCTTGTCCACATGACTTACATCACCCTGAATGAGAAATGTCCATTATGCTTATAAAATAGTGACAGTGCATATCATTAGAACACACTTTGAAGAAATATTGAGTCACATATCCCACAATCCGATTACAGGGAAATTTACTTTAGAGTAGAACCCAAACCCAACTGTTCAGGTAGACATTTATATGTTAACCCATTAAGTGCCAGCCAGCACTCTCCTGTTGACGAGTAAAATTGTTGGTGTTAGACACTTAGACAAAGCAACATAATAAAGTAGGGTGCAATGCAACCTATTAAATGGGTTCATTATGGTATGTCAGATAAATTGACTCGTGCAATTTTTCACATATGAGTTCTGGCATTTATAAGCCCTAGTTTGAAACCAACTTTAAAGCCTACAACAGGTAATTGCAGCCAACTATTAAGTTAACCCATTAGGCAGCCATGCAACCAAGCTTGTTATTTTACTTTCAAACCCTCTAATGGCAGGCAATTTGACTACTCAAGGGGACAGTCTTGTCCATTAATGCATTAATTGTGTTTCTTAACTCCCAAAGTTTCATTTTACACCTTTCATTCCTACAAACACTTTTAGAACTACAACTCTAATGACTGTGGGATTTATAAAACTCTGACAAATTATGTTTGGCCAGATGAATATTGTAAACATCTGAATATAAGCCCTGGGCTTATATTTGTTTGTACTTTGTAAGCATTCTTGATGGACTGAGCTGTTGGAATCCTGGCCCTCACTGCATTAATAAATGTTGGGGGTTATATGTTTATGGTAATTGCTTGATTGCAATGGGTATTGGTTTGAATCTGATATCTTTGGCCTAGCAAAACCTTTTTTTCACTTGTCTGTCATGAATTGACAATTTAATAATACAACTACACAGTAATTATAAATATTAACTGCTACAAAGAACCTGGCAAAGATATCACTCAAAATTTGTCAGGGAAAATTTACTAATACTAAATAAATATAAGTGTACAGTATAAAGGACTCCGAAATCATACGCAGCCTTAAAACCCAACGAACACGTTGATCAGAATGATTTTCATATAAATATTTGGCTCATATAATATTAAAATTATAAAATTATAGCAGTCAACAAGACAATAAATCATATTGAAATATATAATGAGACAAATTCATACAAATTTACCTTCAAAGGAAATATTGTGAAGAGATTCACTGATCTCGTCCATGATTCCGTCGTGAATAAAGCAAAATAATCAAGAAAATCGAACAATGACTTTGAAAGTTCAGAAATCGACATAAATTTCAGAAATCGACACGTTTTCTGCGAGGCGCTTCCGCGTCCCGTAGTGAGCAACGCACCTCGATTCCCGCGCGTGCGTCACGCAACCAGTAAGCACACCAAAGCGCCAGGGACGAGGCTGGTATACATATGAAACGTATAAATACACAATTTTTGACGTTGTCCAAGATTGTTTAGTAATGCGTTGACACGTTTGCTACTGCAGTTTACTATATACTAAGCGTGTTTTCGAAGGAACGAGGCAACACTATATATGTACAATTAGCCATAACGCTTTTGTCGTAGGTCTTGTAGGTTTTATTGATATATACGTGGTTTTGAAAGAACGAGGCAACACTATATATATGCACAATTAGCCATAGCGATTTTGTCGTTGGTCTGGTAGGTTTTATTGATATATACGTGATTTTGAAGGAACGAGGCAACACTATATATGCACAATTAGCCATAACGCTTTTGTCGTTGGTCCGGTTGGTTTTATTGATATATACGTGGTTTTGAAAGAACGAGGCAACACTATATTTACACAATTAGGTTAAAAATTAACCCCCCCCCCCCCATTAAACCATGTTCACCATCTTACACCATCTTCACCACCTGACAATAGCTGTTCAGCTGAACCATCCGACACCATCCTACACCACACTACAAGCGTCTGACAAACAAAGCATCTGACACCATCTTACACCATCTTCACCACCTGACAACCAATGGCTATACTTTTTTTTGGGGGGGGGGGAATAATTTTCACCTGCTGCGGTAAGTTAGCAAAAATGACACGCAAAACATGATCCAACGCATGTCCTAGCAGTAATCAAGGAAGATAGCCGGTTAAAGTTGGGGGGGGGGGGATGAAAAATACAGGGTCCAGTGAAATATTTTCCCAGAAATCGAGGCTGAAAATCCTATTCTTAAGCACACTAAGCACGTCTGCACTTAAACCTGTTTTCCTTAAAAGGCGAAATTTTTCGCGCGGAATTTATCCTTGTCTTTTCTAATTAGTTCCACTAGAGAAATCACAAGTCAAAGAAAAATTCCGTTCCATGCATGCGGAAAATTACGTCTAGTGGAAAACGGCTGTTACTGGCAGGGAACTAAATCATTTGGTGGACTGGAAATGCTGCAAAAATTGCTTCACAATTGGTTTTGCTCTGTTTGGGTACTTTAGTTGGGGCAAAATCACCAGAAAATTATAGCAGTTGAACTACCTTTCGATGGAGAAAGAACATCCAGGCTTTTTTAAACAAGACGTTAAAGGACCTAATGTATTTTTAATGTTACTTAGCTTTCAAGGATGCTGAAGCCCGCCGCCCCCGCAATGGTTAAATTTACAAAATAAATGTTTCATTGACCACAGTATTAGTAATTTTTTCCACTTTGCCTTTTAGCCAGCAACCAAGCGTCTTTACTTTAATGGCTTTCTTTTCGTTGGATGTGTTCGTCGCCCCTGAGTCAATACCAACCATTGATAACTTATAGTTATCAGTACAGAATAAATTAATCAAATATTTGATAATAACCAATAACAGTGGCGTGCTGGCAGGGGGGGGCCGGGGTGCCACGGCCCCCCAGCTGGCAATTCTTGGGGGGCGCAAAAATGAAAACGGGGCGCCGAATTTTGAAAGTGCATGGGTGGGAAAAAACGCATTCTCGAAAAAATATGGTTACTTCCGCCAAGAAAAGACGTGTTTATAGGCTACAGTATAAAACAGACTAAGCGCATAGGCGACATATATTAAATTACAGACTATTTTGCCTAACCGTATTTGCTATCTCACACGAAATCGTTCATATAAAAACATGATCAGTGATCACAGGCAATGTCTCATTACCGAAATATTGGTCAGGTTTCAATCGAAGCGATCAAGGGAATTATGCCCTTTTTTGCTGGTATTATGCCCTTATATTATGCCCTTTATTATGCTTCACGAATCACGAGAACGGCGCAAATTAGATAGTTGAAGTTATGATAACTGATGTAAAGTTGTGTACGCAATTTAGTTGTTTGCACAAGAAACATGAGTAATGTAGGTAATGAAATAATGCTGAAACATGCCCTTTTGGCAGCCAGACAAGGAAACCTTAAAATACATATGCGTGGGGTGCGTGTGTTATTGTATAAAAGAGCTTTAAGTTGTAAATGTATATCAGTAGAGAACAGAATTGGGATTAGATTAATCGCTGGAAGTAGTTTGCATTGCATAATTTAAGTACTACTACTAAATCCTAACCAAATTGCAAATTTCGACACGTTATAATGCCGTTTCCGGACCATCAGATTTCTCAGTGTCAAATCCTCCACGAAAGTCCAGGAAATGGCATTTCAGAGACTCTAAATTCAAAAATTTTCCTGGGGGGCATGCCCCCGGACCCCCCTAGACAATTAAACCTCGCACCTGCGGCACTCGGGTTCGTGCTTTCGGCCCTCATTTATCGAGTGTAACATTATAGGGGCGCATATTGGTTGACAGCCCACTGGCCCCTTCAGAAAAATAGTACCCAGCACGCCACTGACCAATAAACTAATGCTAGAAATGGCTTAATGTTTCAATATCTCTTGGATTGACTATACATACAGCTACCATACATGCAATAACTACAAAAGGATTACCATGCATATACTTATAACTTCTGATAGTTAGTGTCAATTCCAATTGTTTCGATGCTACTGAACAAGTATGTACCCGAATGCTGGAGTGTTCTTATACGAGTTAGCACAAGCATATATATTACCACATGCACTCCTTTTCACCTCACGATTACATCCGGTTATTGAAGTACCAAAGCCAATACACGAGTTACATGTCTTGCAGTTCTTTTGCTGATTAGCGACTAATCCAATCCGTACATAAAACTTCCTACTAGATTTTTCCTCACGAATATTAAACCCTTCTTTATTGCAATTGTTTTGTAGAGATGAACCTTTAATAAGTGATTTCCACTTTGACTTGTTTATTATTGTTTCTGTGAATGTGCCACCCGCGATTACGTCGAATAGAGAGCTTGCTTGGTGGTTAATTGCAATCCATTTTAGATCAGTTTTTGTACCTCTCTCGACTTTCATTCCGAGGCATATTTTCTCAAACGGCGTGTTCCAGTAAGAAGCTAGCTTTGTTTGTTTATCAGTCAAACCTTCAATCCCGTTTTCGACTTCGTAGGCAGTTTTGTTGCTCCAGTAAAGAGAATCATATTTGAAGGTAGCCTTTAAAGAAAAATATGTTTGCAAATATAGACATAAACCAGGAAAATTATCTGTGAATGGACGTAATAATACTGCAAGGGAGTTGCTGCTCAATGAAGTTTACCTTGCGAACTTGGTATCAAATGATTCATGACAAGGCAATTAAACCTGCTTTCGATATGGTCGTACATATATAAGAGTAACGATCTTTTTCAACGGCCAGTTTATAATAGTTTCACCTGTAAACCACTTATAAACTATTAGCATTATCTAGCTATAATCACTTCGCACATTTTCAGTTCTAAAATGTTATAGGCCTATTTCGGCTAATGAGAAAAATCGTAACTCAATCTTTATGATCGTTTCGACCATATAAAAACCAAACTAAATAAATAGGGCGGTGAAAGCACGTTTTTTGTGAAAATTGAAGAAAAAGCCGATTTTGATACGCCAAGTTCTTAAAAATCTAACCGAATATATGTTTGTACAATATCTGTCCGTGCACGCAATTAATTGCCAGTTAACAAAAATTCTGCCGTCACGAGAATTTATTATCGGTAATGTGAATGATTCTATATTTATTACTTCGGTGGAGACAAAATTTCCAATGAGATTATAGATTGTCGTTTTACTGCCAACACCTACGAATTATCGAATGAATTACCCGAATTAAAACCAAACGCGAATTTAAACATAAGACTTAATGTTTGAAAAAGTCATTCGTATAGAGATTTTGTCGAGTCATGGCGGGTAATTTAAAAAAACTATTAAGAACTCAACAGCCTATTCAAATTCTGGCGAGTTAGTTTTTTTGACAGCGGCCATGGACCGAAACATTTGTTGTTGGTGTCAGAGTTACATTTACACCCTTCACCCGCGCACCCCTAAAATTAAAAACAGTCGAATACAGTCGACAGATCTGACATTTTTTATTGTCAAAGTGGAGACTTTTGAGCAATCCGCGTATATTATGCAATCTTAATCCAAGCTTTACTATAGTGCATCACAGACCAAGTTAAAATTGACTTATCAAAACTATACTCCCCCCTCCCAGGAAAGATTCCTAGCGCAGATTCATGTTAAAGCTCTTAATCTAAAATCGGAATTGTTTGAATTGTAGATATTAAGAAGATACAAGGAAAATAAAGAAAATAAGGAAAATAAGGAATTGTCTGATAAAGTGGAAGCTCTAAAATCTGAACAGCGAAAATGTGAAATAATTAGGGAAGAGTACAACACAAGTTCTGTCATCGACCTAGCCCATATCGAAAATGTTGAAAGTACACACAAGATGGTTGTGTCAGAATTACATTCACACCCATCTTTACTGATTAATCTCGTGGGAATGCAAACGTAGTTGCTAATAAAGTTGTAGTCACAGAAGCCAGCAAAGTGGCTATCGAAAAGGAGCCAACAACTCGTGGCAATAAATCACAGTGGGTCCACCAGAACGACCAGCAGATTAATTCAAAAACAAATCTGCATCAAGTCAATCGTCCAACTCGGTCAACACATTAAGAACATACCCGAATTGTTCACCACTGACAAATTTACCTTGTAGCCCACCAACTGTAGCTCATACAAGTCAAAGCACCATCCTTCCTACAGCAGTGTGCCTTCTAAACAGCGACAGCAGTTACAAAACCCTCAAACAAGTTAAAGCAGTGTAGTGTGGATTTTCGTTGGCGACCCAAAGAAGAATCTCGAACAAAACAATCGAGACCACCCGCAGGAACCAAGGTCTCTTAATGCGAGATCCATTCTCAAACACATCGACAAATTGGTATTTTTTATCCATAATTATAACTGAGACATAGTAGTGGTGTCTGAAAAATGGTTATCCGGTGGTATCCCAAAAAGAGGATTGCACGTTCCAGGCACCCAGATTTCAGTGCAATTTGGAACAACAGAGAAAATAGAAGAGGCGAGGGTGTGAACATTTTTATTAAAGATGCAATTCCCATTAAGATACGTCCTCATTTTACTGAATTTAAATGCAAAATCATGATGGTTTATGGATTGTATTACGTCCAAAATGGCTCTCCAGATTAATTTCAAATATTGTCCTTGCATGTGCTTATCTTCCACCATCGCTAAGTTCTGGAGCAATTGAGGACCTTTAAGATTATTTCTGCTGCTGCTATGACATGCTTACAAGCGAAAGCCTAAATATAGCGATTCTTGCCGCTGGGGACATCTTCAAGACTGTTCGTCTTGTAAAAACACTAAATTAGATGGATTTTTAGCTGCTATATCAGAGAAGACCAATGTAGTTTACCCGTTGACCTAATGTAGAAATGGCATTTCGTAACGCGCACCTCAGGAAAGGTCATCAAAATTGTGTTTCTTGTCTTTCGAAATTCGTTTGATTTGAAAGATCACAACAAACCTCCGGAGTCTTTCATTCACATCTAGTCTAGGACCTGTATATGAGTTTGTATGCATTTCATTTAGGACAGATAATCTCAACTGTTTTCCAGGTGATCTCGTGTTCGTATTTTAGCCAATCCGCGCTCAGAAAGGGTTATCCGAATAGAAATCCATTTTGATTTATTCAGTCAATTATATCTTTCGTTATTTTTTATGAAACTAGTTGAAATTTTGTAATTATGTTTGGTTATGAGAACTATAGCTCTGACAAAAATATGGAATCGAAATAAACTATATTACAGGAGATATTCAGTTGTTTCAATCATAAAATGGATTTCTATTTGACAACTAGTGCCAGTACTTTTCCGCGTATCAAAATCATCTGGTTAGGGCAAGTTGACCATGACGGTCGACATGGTAACGCTCCCCAAACCCCAATCCGGCGCGAAACGTCCGAAAGTGACCACACTCAAAAACGACGCTTTCGCCATAGTGCTATCTACCAAACCATAAAAGCTTTGGCTATTCTGAGGTGCTTATATGGTTTAGAGATGGTAAGTGTGAAATGCCTAGCACTGATATTTCACAAGAAAATGACCATGCAATACTCATAGTCAAACGTCAATTTGTGACTTACAAATTCAGATAAACAGCAGTGGACCTACATTACTTTTTCCCTAAATCTTTTTTATAGAAACCTAATTGGTACTTATTAAAGTATATTATCACGCCTTTGCTGTAAATTAGTTAATACTTTGTGAACGAACTTAAATAATAATTTGAAATGTACCTACCTTCTGCAAATGGCGTATTTGGGCAAATTCTCCAATTTACTCTGCTGTTTATCGCCAATCTCGTTGAAATACTTCCAAATATGTACGGCAGCTCAGACATAATGGCATCAAGCACATTTTAAACAAGTTTTAAATAGGTTTCAAACAGATCCTAGCTGTTTAAACAACGACAAGGTAAAATTTACCTCGGCGCCATTTTGTCATCCCATGTCGGTTGTCAACAATTCGTCCTTGTTATTCTTAATCCATCCAAGCCATTTTCATTCCAATAATAACAAATTGAACCCTTTGTTAAGGGTATCAAAATAAATATGTAAAGAAAATAGAAAAAATGCAGCATTTTATCACCCTGTAAAATGTTGCTTACGAGTCTTT